TGATCTCTAGAGGTCCCTTCCAACCTTAAATATTCTGTGAATCTGTGATAACTAAACAATCATGAATATAAATCTTTTTTTCCCCCCTATGCATCCAGTGATTTTAACTCCATGTCGTAGCATTTTGTGTGGTAGTTCGTTTTGAAAAGCACTGATTGACCACAGTCCAAAACCAAGCATCTCTGTAGTTAAATGAGAGTTGAGGAGAAAGGAGGCTTATTGCTATTTATCTACATACAGCTGAGCTTTTCCTCCTCACCATCGTCCAGTACTTCAAAAGTCTTTATTGAAGACTCAACCTCTCATAAAAGCTGCTTACCAATGACAAGTGGATTGGCAAAGACAGTCAAATTTAGACTTCAGATCTGCAGGTACTATAGAASAGTCTGAAAAAAATACCACCCTTCAGAAAACTCTCCATTTATTCTGCTAGAAGTTACAGCTAAAGAGATTTTCTGATAGCTGACTTAGGAGTACTTGCATACTATTGTTTCACCAGCTGAAGTATTGAGGCAACCTTGAAAGGAGCAATCACTCATGCAATTAAGTACACAAGTAGTGCTGAGAGCACGAGCTGCTGCTGACTGATGAAACCAAATATATGTGTCTAGAAATATGTCAACATAATAATTAGATCTGCATGCAAAATACACACTGCATTACACAGCCAAACAGTTGTGAACCAAGACGCACTTTTTCCATGCACCCGTTATTTTAAGTCTGTTTTGCAGCATTTTTAGTAGTTTGTTTTGGAAAGTACCAATTSAGGACAGCCTGAAAGTGTGTCTATAATTAAGAGAGTGATATAAGGAGATGTGATACTGCTCTAAGACACCACTGACATCTCAGAACCACCAAAGTAGCCACCAGATTTGAAGAACATAACTAAACACAGGACTGCACATCAGCATCCCTTCAATGTTTCAAAACAAAAGCGTTGCTAATGGGTAAGCAATGGGGGGTAAGCAATGCTCGAAGATCACTTTATAGCGAGTAACACGAGGAAAGGTCATTGCAAAATTGGGCTAGGCTTTGGTATATTTTAGAGATATAACCTGACCTTTATTCTATGTTTAATACCCGTTTTCAAACAAGCCTACACTTGTATCCTGCTACCCTTACTGTTTGGGACATCCTGTCTACTTTTACGATAGATTACTATTAACTAGTCCTAAAGGATTTCTCTGTCRTAATAAGTGAAGTGAATTCACATCACTCCCAAATCTAGAACAGAATAAAGTTTYAAATTGCTTGGGACAGAAAAAAAACACTTTGCTAATACAGCTCCTTTTATTTGTTATGAGACACTACCCACGGAAACAACTCCACAGTTCTTAGCAGGCAAGTCAGTTGTTTACTTACCTACTGACACRTGAGTCTTCTTATTGATGTCATATGCACAGACTGCACTTGATTTTCCGCACTCAGGTACACCATAACAGAGGTTGATTTTATAAAACACATTGTTGTCTGCATCAATTGCTTTCCATGTGTAACTGAAAAGAGAAAAAAAAAAGTCTGTCGGTATTTATACTGGTTGTGCTACAATCTCCTAAAGACCCATCCCCAAAACAACCAAGYTAAAGCAAACAGCCACTAAGTGGAGCTTTGTATGTGTGTTCTAAATCAGTAAACACCAAAAGTAGCTGGTTTACTGAGTGCACGCCAAGAACAAAAACTTAATCACTGAAGCAGGGGCAAACATTGGTCCATTTTCCCCTTTCTTTTAACACTCACCAATCCATTCCTCCATCTCAAATCTCTTGGRAGACTACCCTGAACTGATAATATTACAGGGGGGGAGCCTCTGAAAACCTAGCACACCTTTCAAAGATTTTTTGTAAGCTGTACAGGAATGCATTTTTGCAACAGCTAGTAATAGTCAAGAAAAGTCATATGCCTAAGTGCAGTAAACCCATTAATTTCACATTAAAAGAAAATTAAAGAAAAAAAAGAAAATCAGGTCAGAGGTTCTTGAAGCATTCAGACAGGAAGACATAAGAAATGCTCGTTGGGCCATGGCTACACCTTTAAACACTTACAAACATTGACACCAAMAGGACAAATTTGGAAGGATTATGTTGGACGCTGGAAAACAAGCAGAGAGATTAAGGAGATACTCAATAAAAAAGGTATTACTAGTTAACTACAGCCACACCAAAGTCAGTTGGCAAAACCTGATAAAGAAACATAAAGCTCTGCTTAAATACAATAGGGGAGGAAGTTACAGTAATAGAACAAAAAAAAAATTAAAACAACATAAAATGTGCAGTCCTTACTCAACCTCTGCACCAGCTTCCCCCTACAGCAAGGGCAGGCTGTGCAGCGGACACGTGGACCTGGTAACATGACAGGGCACCAGCAGTAACTTCAGGTCAACTAGTTTGGTGCCCGGAGCTGCTTAGACAGGTCAGCTCACCAGAGTCACGCTCCAGCTCTGCTAAAGGTGCACCTTGCTACACACACACACAGACACAGACACACACACACAGACACAGACACACACACACAGACACAGACACACACACAGACACAGACACACACACACAGACACAGACACACACACACAGACACAGACACACACACACAGACACAGACACACACACACAGACACAGACACACACACACAGACACAGACACACACACACAGACACAGACAGAGCCAGCTGGGCTCGGGGGCATTAAAGCCTCTGCTGGAGCTAGGGTGCTTCAGAACTCTTTCAGAGAATTTGAAAATCAGTGTTTGCCTGTGAATTGAATGAGAATTTAAGTCCTTCACACTACAGAACTATGTTTTGCTTTCCCCACTCAACATCACCGGGAAACAAGAGGAAATCCAGCATCTTTAACACAGTTTATCCACGTGCCAGAAGCAACAAGAGAAGCAAGATGCGAACACATATGTACAGAAATGTAACAGTCACTACAACAAGCCTTTCCCTTTGCACCCTTCCACATGCAGAAGGGCRAGGAATCTTTTGAACACAATCCAGGGGCAGGAAGTAAGAACTCCCCATATTTATATTTACTCATGTGCCAAATTTCACCTTCAATGAAAGAAGGAAAAAAGAGATTGGACCTTCACAATGAGAAATCTCACATCACTAGTGGTTTCACAATACTACTACTTTTAAAGAAATAGTTCACTGAAATAATTAATTTTAATGGGCAGTGAGGTGCAGGGAAAGGATTTATTCATAGCACTGACAAAACACACTGGAGCTTGAYGGCAGCCTGGATGCAGCCTGAGCAGTTGCTCTAAACTAAGAGATGCAAAACACCTTCTTGGTAAAAGCAAGATTTCTTTCCTTCACAAACAAGGCTGCCAGCAACAAAACAGCTTCCAGCTGCAGCCCTATGACATGTGCTCTGCTTTCCAACAGGGCAGAAACTGATCCCTCCAGTAACAGAAACAACCTGTTGCAATCGCATCTCCGGACCGCAGCTCAGCCACTTCAACCTGAGGCTGCTTCCAGCTGCTCAGCAGCCCCCTGGTACCACAGCTCGTTCTTCACATAACCATCATAACTGCCTAGTCCAGCCAAAGCCACCCAGGCAGCTAACACCTGTGTTTAAAGTGCTTAAGCTATTCCACATTCATTGAAACTGAGTTAGTTTGGGGAGCTGCTGTACAAGCAGCTTCAAAGAGCGATAGCTCAGGGGGCCTGGGGAATAATAAACTTCCCTGCCTGCTCCGGACTGCAGCGAGAACAAAGCGGGCGAGTTCAATCCGAGAACAGCAGCCACGTCCAAAGCGCAGCCTGCAAACGGGACGTGGACCTGCCCTGTGCTCCAGGGAGGAAAGGAAAAGCTCAGAGGCACCCCACGAAGCGCCCAGCTCCCCCAGGGCACCACCGGGACTGGCTGACACCCTCTTCAGGCTGCACGGGCCCCGGAGCCAGAGCAGCTCTATTCCCTGGCCACGCCGGGGGTGAGCAGCACTCAGGAGGGGTTAATGCACCCTCTGCMCAAGGGGTTCAATAAAATACCTCCCCATGGCTCGCGCCATTCAAATAGCCAACTTTGGGACAGTTCTAAGTCATGCYTGGTCCTGGCTCTAGGAGTGCCCTGTCCTGGTTTAAATAGAGAAATAACTGGCTTTGTTGAAGTGACAGTGACACCTGTTTCTAGCTAAAAGTAACTATAGCTAAAGTGGCTGAGCCATAATGCAATTGGCGATAGGACCATCAAGGCTAAGCATAGCTAAAACCAAACCCAAAGAGAGAGTTCCGAATTTGAGACAATGCTTTGGGACACATCCTCTCCTTCCCCCTCCTAATGAGAGGAGMTGGATCCCAGAATTACTGTGGCTCAAAACCAACTCAGCAAACAGGTGTCTGTGCACACACGTATAGCGAGCTCGAGTGGGACCAATTCCCTGGTTAGCTCTCAGGAACCGGCCACACAGGAGGCAGCAGGAGACAGGGAGAATTTCCCATTTAAGGCAGCACCAGCCCAGGCTGCAGCTGAAAGCAGCCACAAAAGTGAGATCCAAACAAGCAAGTTACCTGGAATACGCTGACTTGCRGGTCAGGCTTTCCAGGTACCTAGCTTTGCTCCTTTAAGCATAGACTACAGCTTTAAAAAAAAGGTAGTAGTAAGGTGGAAAAGAGATAAAGAGCCTGACTTATTTTCCACAGCAAGGTAGTTTTCAGCTCAGGCACCAAGATCCGACTTGAGGAAGGGCTAAAGCTGCCACCGCAAAGGGTCCCTCCCACAAGAGCCACGAGCTGCCCTGGGGTCGGAGCGCGGGACCCACACGGTGACCGGGAGCGACGCCCCGGGGGGCTCCCGGGAGCCTCACGGTGACCCAGGAGCGACACCCCGAGCGGCTCTGGGGAGCCGGGCACAACTCGCGCTCCCCATCCCGTGCCAGCGGCGGCCGCTGGCCGGAGGAGCGCGCACAGCACGGCGCCGAGGCACGGCCCGCTCGGCAGCTCCGGGGACAYAGACACCGGAGCGCTACGCTCCAAGGGATGCTGCCTTCTGCTCGGCACAGCACAAGGGGACACAGGGCCACGGGATGGCAGAGCTGACTCGTGCATCCACACAGGGTCCCTGCACACAACTTCGTGCTCCGCAGCAGCTCGGATGTGAAAACATCGCGGGGATGACGCTAATACCTGAAGCTCTTCATAAGCAGCTGCACRCAGCATCATCAGGGATCAGCCAGGGAGCAGTTTCCACAATGACCATTTCAAATATGAAACTAGAAGCCACTTTTCCTAAAGCTATTGGATGAACCTACCATAAACACACATAGCAAAGATATTTGCTTCCATAAAGCAAGCTCTCAGAGAAAATGGGACTGAACAACAGGAGATACCAAGCCATAGCCATGCTCAAAGGGCTGAAGGAAACAGGCTTGTCAACACAGCCCTCCTCCTGCTTTGCCCTGCTCTAGTTTACCTGCTAATCTAGTCACCACTCTCTAGTTTACCTGCTAATCTAGTTACCACTGTGTACCCACAGCAGCTTGTCTTCAGGCGAGTTTTCTTGCCTGCGTATCATGTGCAATAGCCTCACAACTCTGTCCCAAGCCGTTCAACTTCCTCCCTGGAGGCACTTTGTCTTTCATGATAAATGGGTAAGCTGCATCCACCACAGCGTGCAACTGATGCTTAAGAAAAGGGACCGCAACTTGAAGCTCAAGGAAGAGGCTATAGGAAGCCCAAGTGCAGAGGAAGAGTTTCTAAACCCTCATACCGGCTGTTTCCGAGGCATGTGAAGCAACCACATGCACATGCAAATAAGCCCAATAACCAGTTGCATCCGACACTCCCACTGGAAAGGTGTCACAGCACTTTGCTGGGCTAAGAAAGTTCAAGCCAAGGTCACCTCCCTGCACCCGGCTCCCGCTTCTGCACCAGGCTGAGCCGAGCGCCAGCCGCGGGGCTCCGCTGCAGCGAGAGACACGAGAGCCAACAATTAGTTCCACGGCAAATGCCTATAAACAAAACAAACAAAAGCCGTGTTTGAGTGAACCGTATGTACAGCCAACTGGAAGAACTGAATCTCCTAAAGTGACACATCAGAATAGTCAAATGATTTGACAGAAATTCAGCATAGCAGCAATCCTGTAGCGTATAGCAGCTCTAATGACTTTTCCTTTCATTCAGAAAAATTAAAAGTTATAGGAAACTATCTATAACATCAGKTATATGCACTGACGCCTATCCTTGAACAGAAGACCAAAAAAACATTACCTGACACCAAGTAACATTTCMTCTAGGGCAAGACAGTAACACTTCTTGCTGCTCTGCTGTAAAACTTGAAACATTTTTTCCCTTCTAAAAAAAATACAGAAGTTTCATAGGAGCTTCCCTAATGTTACACTGAAGTTTAACCCAAACAATCAGTAGGATTTTATTTTTGTCTGTGTTTGCTTTTTAATAAATAACTGATTTAATGAAGAGTCCACAAACTAATTCTGAGCCCGATTTATTCTTCATAAGGATAACRAAGAGCTTGGTTCACCTGTGTTGTCATGTGAAAGATGCAAGAGGACAACAGAGAATGGGGAAAGACTGAACTGACCAGTAACTTCATATACCCAACTAAATCCCCTGCATTATTTCCCTATTGCAGCAATGCTTGAGATTAAAAACTTCGTATAGGAGATAAAACAATTGCAAGCTCCCTGACAGCACAGCCACCTTTGAAAGCAGCCACGTGAAAAGCATGACAAAACCAAACCGGTCACTGCAGGTTGYGACAGTTACAGGAAAGGAAAGCCCTGCGATCA